TCAGTCTTCTTGGAACTAATTACACCACCTTGTTTTATATCCTCTCCTGTATGGATCTAATTACTCTTTCTTAGTCTATTAGTTGATTTAAATCTAATTACCTCTTCCTGTTCATTGTTCCCTCCATTTTTAGGTGTAATTACACCTCCCTGTTCTTTGTTATATCCCTCTGTTAGGGTGTAATTACACATCCCTGTTGTTTGTTCCCTTCATTCTTTGGGTATAATTACACCTCACTGTTCATTGTTCCCTTCATCTCTTTGGGTGTAATTACACCTCCCTGTTCATTGTCCTATCCATCTGTTTGGGTGTAATTATGCTGTCAGACACCAGCACATATGATTTGCTTATAGTGGTGAAGGCTTTGTGCAGAACCAACTGCACTTTTTGAAGGGCCGAATACAGAGACCTGGTGAACTATGTTTCACTAGGTCCCCAAACAACCCTCCACAAGTTTTGAATTCAGAGTTATTCTTCTCCTAGATCAATTGCCACCCAAGGCTATAGAACCCAGTCTGTCCTGCTATTTACCCATATCTGGAGGGAGAAGAAGAGGATAAATACCTTTCTCAAGGGTATGAGCACCTCAGTGAATCTAATGGATTTGATTGGAATTTGAACTTGGTTCTCCAATTCCTTTACCATGCCTCCTATTATTATTCTTATATTCCATGCTAGATAAAATAAGTAAAGGTTTATTGTAAAAAAAAACCCAGTACAATAAGAATAAAGGTAACAGTTATGCACAAGGTCGTTGCAAGTCAATCCAGTAGTGAGTGCTACTACTGGAAGGTCGGTAGTTCTCGTGTAAGTCTGAGTCATACTCAACAGATCCCAGCTTGTTTCTGTAGTCTGTTGACTTACAGATACTTATAGATAGTTACTACCTATAGTGTAGTCACTCATGGGGGTGACAGGTTATTCCATTACATCAATTATATATATATATATATATATATATATATATATATATATATCTTTCTGAAGACTCCTTTGAAGGAGCAGTAGAGAAGATATTTAGGTGACTTGGGTATCTACTGTGAAGGAGGATACTTCATGAAAAACCTCCAACCCTTCTGCTGGGTCAGAGCACTTGAATCCTGGATTTAAAGTGTACTGTCTGTAATCCCTATGCTTCATTTCTCTTGAAAATCTTCAAGAATGTAGGTCTGAGTATTATTCCATATATTTCCTGCAAGTGAGGTGAAAGTGCATTTTACAGTCATGAAAAAAAAAAAAATCCTTCTACATGTTCGTTCGTGAAGTCAAACCATGTTATTGAAAAGTATTGATTTATAAGAAATATGTTCAAAGGAAAATAATTAAATGGGAGAAGTTTTTATTTCTAGAACAGGTGTTTAGACTATTATTTGCAGGTGAAGATAGATAAAAAAAAATACCTTGAAGTGAGAAGAGGATCATGCGAAAATGACAACTGGCAGAAACAAAAAAAAACAAAAACAGTACAAGCATTTTCCAGTTACTGATGGAAACTTGTAAAAATAAAATCAAAATATATTCCTTCCTTCAAATAACAACTACAAAAAGAAAATCAACTGATCACAATGAAAGTTAATTTTTTAAAGATCTGAAGAATTCATTCTTCATCTTGTGCAAAAAAAAAAAAAACACAGTAACATTATTATTTTTTTTGAAGTTTTTCAGTATTCAGGCTAGACATCTGCAAGACAATAAAAAAAAATGTCAAGTTGAAGTCATGTAAATTTTTAAGTTTTTTTTTTATTATGATGAACATATTCTTTTAACTGTCCTCATTTTTGCAATAGTTTTGTAATGTATCCATTCTTTCTTGATATGGAGACCTACTTAAGGTGAATAGAAGTTAATCAGTTGTATTAAACAGCATCGGAAAGTGTATATTTACCATCAAAATTTCAGTGTTCATTAAAAGAGGAGGTAACTTTACTGAATAGTTAACTTTAAAATATTACTTTGAAAACAAATTCCATTTTTGATTGTGCCCCCCATACAGTTTTAAAAAAAAAAAACTGAAAGATTTGTGAATGCAAATTAATTAAAATCCATTTGAATTTTTGCAGTGTTCAGTTTTGGGATTGCAGACTTTGGAAATTGGCAACAGATGTAAGTAATTTGAAGATGCATTGAAATATTTCTGTATTCTATTTGTTATAAAGAACATATAATAGTTTCATAAACATATATATATATATATATATATTATATATATGTATAATATGTATTCATATATTATATATGTGCGGTACTTATTTGAAAGCACTCAATATCAGCGACAGAGCTAACATATTTAATTGTGTTGATGCGAGTTTGTGATCCTGGGTTTCACGCCCTTTGCAATCATTAGACAAAGAAACCCAGGGTCACAAACTCACATCAACACTATCTATCTATCTATCTATATATATATATATATATATATATATAGATCTCCAAATGAGAGAAAAAAATGAATTAAAATTCCACTGTTCGTAGCATTTACTTTTAAGAAAGTGCTCAATACAAAGTAGAGCAATATATTATTATTATATTTTTATTATAAGAGATTATAATAAAAACATTGAAATTGCTACACAAAAACTTTCATGTTTCAATACTTTGATTGCACTTCTTCAGGCAATGGTTATAAACTGGTGATTACTTACCATTGCCTGAAAAAACACAATCAAATGTTTAAACATGAAAGCTTTTGCATAACAATTTCAATATATTATAATCTTTTACTATATATATATATATATATATATATATATATATAAATGTACATATTATTCCTCATGAGTAGTGCAACTCAGAGTTTTATACATCAGATTAATGATATTTATTAAATCTTTTTATCTAAATATAAAATAAAATATTAACTCTGTTTATTTTAAATATAAAGTATGCTATCTATTTTAAATGCAATATTTATATATTTAAAATAAAAACTAAAAACCTGTAATCCCTGTATAATATATGGACTACACCAGGGTTGCATTAACCAGACTGTTATTAAAATTTAAATTATGTAATGGTCAGCACCTGAAGATTTTGTGGCTGAAACTTCAAGTTGTGCTAGCAGCGAGGGATAATATGTATATTTATTAATATATACTTAATAGCTCTGTTATATTGCACCAGACACTATTTTATTAACACCAACACTTAATGTGCAATATCTTTTATATATATATATATATATATATATATATATATAATAAAAAGAAGCGAGAAAATGCAAACGTTTTTGATTGTAATCTGGATTTTTAAAAAAAAATATATTATGCTTTATTTTCCATAAATTTGCCAATTCAGTTACAGTTTAACATTGTGCCCACAATGTTAAACTGTAACCAAATTGTGTCCTGGGCATGATGTTAAACTGTTGCCAAATTGGCAAAATTATGGAAAATAAAGAATATATTTAAAAAAAAAAAAAATCCACATTACAACCAAAAACGTTTGTGGTTTCTCTCTTCTTTTTATTATACACACTTTTCGCTCATTTATTTTTCCCGCCAAAACTTATGTCACATGGGCAAAATCCTTTGGGCAGGAGGTGATGCTATGGCATTTCCTGGCTATTATGTCTACAGTGCAGATGTTTAGTGTGCTCTTGATGGATTTTCATTTTCCCACAAGATGATTGAATGCATCGAGCAGAGATATTGCATTAACCTTGGGGATGCTCAAGCTCAAACCATCCAGAAGATTCAGCAGGCCTTTGGGGATGATGCCATGGGTGAAAACCATATCAAGGAGTGGTACAACCACTTCAGACATAGCTGAACCTCAATTGGGAGTGAAGTATGCTCAGGTAGGCCATCCACAAGCTGAAACAATGAACCGATTAAGAACGTTTAGCAAAGTCATTGAAGACTATTGTTCATGAATTGGGAATAAGCACAGGATCATTACATTCATTATTAACTGAGGATGTACATGCAGAGAGTGTAGGTAATTGTTGTCCCCCGGATGTTGGTGAAACAACAGAAGCAACTATGCATGGGAATTGTATGGTTTTTACATTCAGGGAGAGTCAAAAGTCACACGGTGCCAAGTCAAGAGAGTAGGGAGCCTGACAAACAAATAGTATGATGTTCTTGACCTGGTAATTTTGGTGCAATATCTCTACATGATGTGTTTGGTCATCTTGCATGAAAACAGAAATCCGACAAGCACTCACTACACATCTCTATTCTATCTATAACAGCTTGGAACTAGTGCTGCCTACCAGCATAAATATTTTCATGTACGTGTGGAAGTGTGGTATCACCTCCCACCCAAATGATTTTGACTGGAAAAAATAAAGTCAGATATTTTTTGAATACACCTCACACACACATATATATATATATATATATATATATATATATATATATATATATATGTGTGTGAATATAAATAAAAAGAAAGAACAGTAAGATATGTAATTCAGTGTTCTTATAGATATTTTTATTTTACAAAATAGTTCTCAATGTAAATTTACAGAGCATTAATATTATAAATTAATTGATTTAAAATATGTTTTTTTTTTTTGCTGCACAGTTCTAACCATGTTTCAAAAATGGAAGCTGAAAGCCCCGAATTTAATTTTGTAATTAAATTAAAGACATTAATTCCATTTCATCCTCAAGTGAATTTTGGAGTAACTTTTTAATTATATATATATATATATATATATATATATATATATATATATATATATATATTCTTGCTTTAAGATGGTCACCTGTCCAATACTCTACAAATGAGTCAGGCTTTGTTGAACTGTCAACATTTAACTTACTGATTTAATGGTCTACCCTTGAGCTACACATGGACATACTGAAAATCACCACAATAATGAAAAAGAACATCAGCAGATAAGAAAAAAAAATGGAAGAAAACTGATTAGTTATATTGAAGAAAAGACACTAATGTCCAAGAAAAAGTGTGTGGGGGGGAGATTGAACAACTGTAAAATGAAATATACCATTGCTTCCAGCCATGTGTTTCTTTGTTCTTTACAGTAATATATTTTAATGGCAAATGGGTAATGTACAGTTATCTCTCTTTGCAAGCTGACATCGATGCAAAAGAAGAAGAGACAAAAGAGAAAACCAGGAGGAGAAAAGTGTGACTGGAAAAAAAAAAGAAAAAAGTGAGATAAAGAAAGAAAGAAAGAAAAAGTATTGAAAGGGTAATTGATATGAAAGAGAGAGTGAGCGTTTAGAGAATAAATGGAAGGAAAATAGAAAGTAGAGAAAAACAATATGAACAGATGAAAGACAAACTGAATTAATACTAATAATGAAGTAAAAGAAATTAGAGTGGGAGACTGTGAATAAAGAAAAGAAAAAGGATTTTTAAAAAGGGAATAAACATGTAAGAGTATTAAAGCGAGAGAAGGAACAATGAGTGAGAGGGGAAAAAGAAAGATTAAGAGAACGAAAAGAGAGGAAGACAGCAAAGATGATGAGATATACAAGAAAGGAAGAGGAAGACAATGAGAGAGAGAAGCAGTAAAATAAAGAAGAGAGAGGAAAGAAACAAAGATAGTAAGATATACAAGAAAAGAAGAGGAAGACAATCAGAGAAAGAAAGAAAGAAAGAAAACAGAAAGTAAAGAGAAGAAGGAAAAATATGCTGAGATATACAAGAAAGAAAGAGATGGATAGAGAGAGAGTAACAGAGAGGAAAAAGAAAGTGTTTAGATATACAAGAAAAAATCAGAGTGTGAGAGAAAGGGAAGAAAAGAAAATGGAAAGATACAAAATAAAGAAAGAGGAAGACAATAAGAGATAGTGAATAAGAAACAGTGACAGTAAGAACTAAAATGAAAGAGAAAGAAGGAAAGAATTTGTACGACTTAGAAAAAGAGGGCAAGCAAAAAAATAGAGCTGCTAAGAGATGTACACAATGTGATTAAAGATTGAATCAGAAACTGACAACACTACCAATGTTTATTACATACGCCAACCATTGATAATGTAAATGATATAATGCAATTCTAGGAACCGGTTCCAAGGAAGATGAAGAATGTCTGCCAGTATTTGCAGTCTGTGCTGACTCGAGTGCAACTTCGGTTACTGAAATATTGTCCTGGCTGAAACTTTAGCCCCAGAGTCCATTTTGTCAGCCTCGTTTTGAAATATTCTGGATCCTGTTTGGAGGAAATGATTTGATGCTTGCAATAGAATATGGATGCATATCCTATATTCTTTCATAAATCAGATCCTAAATGACAGACCATCTCCTGAAAGAGGTTCTTTACATTTTCTCTTCTTTTACACAAACAAGCACCAATACAAAATCCATTGATCATATAATAAAGATTCTCGTCAAGTGATACGCCTCAGCAACTTTAAAATAGAATCTGTATAAGCAAAGATTTATCAGTTAAAAGACCTACTGTCATTATAGGGCGAATGTGAATGTAAATATATAAATGTTCTTTCAAAAGACTTATTTCACCATCATGGATATCTGAAGGCTTTTTATATTTGATCCGATATAAAGGATTGTTTTTGGGATCAAGATGTATGCATGCCAAAACCTAGAGGCATAAACACCAAATATTCCTGTATGCATAAACATTTGAGGAGCTATCAGTAAGTGTGTAGCCTGGTACATTGCTATGGAGATGAATACTGATCTGTAATTTTTCACTGATTAAAATTCATTATTGAATTAAGTGCATTCACAAGGAAAGTAATTATGCTAAAAATATAAATACTTGTTGCATAAAATAAACACTTTTTATCATTAGATTGCAAACATATATGAAAATTTCTCTGATTCGACCAGTAGAGAAGACAATATTTATGAATAAAAATGACAATAGGAAAACTAGTAATTGCTGACACGTTTCGTCCAATGTGGACTTTATCAAAGCAAAATACGAAATGAATTTAATTGAACAAGGTAACTAATAAAAACAAAAAACAGAATATTCCTAGCAACTGGAATGTAGAAAAACGCTATTTTCATATTGTTGACTGAAAATAACGTCAGTATTTGTCACGTGTGGGGAATATTGTCATTATATCTGTGTTGATGTATTCAACCATTTTCTTTTGATTTTATGAATCTGTTGCGTACATTTGTTTGTGAGAGCAGTAATTTTGTTAAGAAAGGTGAAATGGGGAAAAAAACCTGGGCGTAGATTAATATTTGGGTAATATTCTATGGCAGCACTCTCTAGAATTTTCCTTCTGAGTGAGTTATTTTCTTTTTTATGAGCGTAGCATTTTTAAAATCAAAATTATGGTTGAATTTATTTCTATGTATGACTAGTGCATTAGCTAAGTTGTTTTTTTGTGAGGTCTCTTTTGTGCTCATAAATGCGTTTTTTTAAACTTCTACTTGTTTCTCCAATATATTGGGAGGAACAGTTTTGGCGAGTTATTTTATAAATGCCTGCTTCAGAAATATTATTGCTATTAATGTTTGAAGATCTTAGTATATCCATAATGGTTTTGGAAGTGTTTGTGACTATTTCAAGATAATTTAGATGGGATAGGTTTTCATGTGATTTATTATTGCGGATTATGTTATTAGTTTTGTTTCGTTTGTATATTTTGTATGCCTTTCTTCTTGCGTTGTGGATGTTTTTATTAGTTAACCTTGTTCAATTATATTCATTTTGTATTTTGCTTTAATAAAGTTCACAATGGACAAAACCCATCAGCAATTACTAGTTTTCCTATTGTCATATATATATATATATATATATATATATATATATATATCCTCCCTCCTCTTTGGACTATAGAGTCACAGACTGTTAAGTGCTCCCACTCTGGTTTCTCTAGCAAGAAAGTTTTTATGGAGTGGAGTTCTCTGCCTCCTGGCAAATTGGTATTGAATTCAGACTTTTCCTTTTCCTAGGCTGGTTGCTAACCAAGGCAAGAGAGCTCAGTCTGCTTACAGAGTAAACTACCAACTCCACACTTAACCAGTTTTGAATGCTGTATTATAATTCTCCTAGATTGGTTGCCAACCAATGTCAGGGAGCTAAGCCTGCTCTGCTATTTAAACACTAACTGGGGAGAAGAAGAGATGTGTTCATATCTTTGCCAAGAGTATTTTTGTAAAAAGTGAAGACAATGACAATGTTGGAATATCAGCTTGGCATAGTGAATCCACTTTCTAAGCTTATAACCACTAAATTCTGCGCTATCTCAGTCTGTTCATATCTATCTATGTTTATACAGTGTCTCAAAAAATGTATACATATTTTACAGCATATAGTTCAAGTCAACTTTTTTTTTTAGATTTACATGTTAGGCTTAGCTTTGAACAAAGAAAGTTCATCCTGAAATCCAACTGGAAGTACAAAAATGCGGTAGAAGTTAAAAGGCGGTATCGAAAAGAGATTTATTCACATCAACCAACATGACTTACAACCTCACAAATTAGAGATAAGTTTGAAGCTGATGGTACTGTGCATGATATAGACGAGAACACTTCTCGAAGACCACAGATATCAACAACTCCTGCTAAGCAAGAAAAGGCAAAGGAAAATTTCAACAGTTGTCCAAGAAACCTATTGAAACTGCATTGCATTGTGAGCAATGTCTGGATCATAATGAACATTGATTTTAAAACATGCGATGACAAAATCTTAAGAGCATGCACAATAAATACTGTGTTTATATGCATTATTTAAATTAGATATTGTTGGTTCTAGTTGCTTGAATTATTTCTTGAGAAAGCTTCAAAATGTGTATACATATTTTGAAACACCCTTTCTCTCGCATATATACATATGTACATATATATATATATATATATATATATATAGTGTGTATTTAGGTAGCAATTCTTGATTTATGCATGTTTCATTAAAAACGACAGACATTTAAACACGCGTAAACTTACCAGACTTCATCTGAAACATACTAGTAGAAAACACAAACATAATAACCTCATCCACCTGTATAAAAAGATTAAAAACAATTATAAAAATAATGGAAGCCCTATTGATAAAAAAGAAAAAGCCAACACTTAACAATATTAGCTATGAACACGGCCACAATGTGCTAACTGTGTTTGGAAAATAAAACATTTCTATAACACTAAAAACATACACATAATGCACACACTCAAACTGAAAAAATAAAATCATCCTTGATAATGGCTAAAAGTATAGCCAAAAGCATTCAGAATTATAGAACATTTGGACAGTTTCTACACTGTCTGTCCAAAAAAGAAAACACTTGTTCAAACACAAGAGAAAAATTAAATAAAAAGCTTTATCATGGTACCTTGTCTGTTGTTTTTAATGAAACATGCATATATATATATATATATATATATATATATAGTACTGTGCAAAAGTCTTTGACCAGTTTAAAATATTCTAGTTCTGTTTGAGAAGAGATACAAAATCAAACTAAAACAAAAAGGTAGCATACAACCCCTTTGGCAATCTAGTGGTTTCACTGCTCATATACAAATATAGTGTTGCAACTGCTTATATTTAATGAATATATGGGTATATTTGGTTTTAACCCCTGCAAGTTTGATTAAAGACCAAGGAAGTTCTTTGTTAAGCATTTTTTTTTTATTTGTTTTTCTTTATCTCAGACCAATTTCCTGGTTTCTGTACATATTTAAATATAAATTGTCCAATGCCTGTGTACTTTTACATTTTTAGAAGTCATATTGTCCTTTGTTGTTTTTTTTGAATATTGCTTCTTTATATCTTCTTGCAAGAGTTTATGCTATTGTATTTTTTCAAAATATAATGACTCATGAAAGCTGCAAGTAATCAGCCACAGCATAATTAATATTTAAATATCTAATGGAAACCATAAAAATAATCCAAAATGTAGAAAAAATAAATTGGTTATTTGCAATAAAGATTAAGTGAAATTAAGATGAAAGAAATACAAAAGATTAAAACAGTGACTTCTTAATGATTCACCAGACTTACAATGAGCTATAAAATCTCATAAAATAATTTTAAAAAATCCAACCAGTCAGTATTGTGCATTGTAGGAAAATTTTGATCAGTGAATTTTCCTCTTTCTTCAAAATGAATCAAAATAAATGAAAAGAAATAAAAGTAAAAAAAATGGCTGACACTTTGGTCACTGTATGGAGTGACATCACTGAAATGGTCATCATATGACTCACATGATTTATCGCTATCAAAGGGAGATGAGTACCTTCTGTATCCCTACAGCAGTAATGTGTGCCAAGGGAACAACCGTTCTTTTTAGATGCACTGCACTATTTTGCAGGTAGGTTTGTTAGACTTTGCCCAGATTAGTAAAACATATTGACAGCAATTAAATTTTAGGTGTCATGTGTTATCATTATCATTCTTGAATCTTATAAAACTTACATCTTCATGTTTGTTGCAAATATGAAGTTTTGTGTCCTCTTGTGTCGATTGATAGAATTTAGAGTGTCCATTTGTAATGTCAGATATATTACTTCAAAGTACAATGATTTTATTGATCTGCTATTGAATCCTGAACATTTATTGGTTTGCTGTTATATTGATATACTCAGAATCTATAGAAACTTTGCGGAAAAAAATACTTTTCTCCTGTCCTCTTGTACAAAAAAAAAAAAAAGAAACACACTGTCCTTTTTATAAAAAAAAACAAAAACTCATCCTTTTTATAAAAAAAAGACCTAATGAAGAATGTATGTAACTGAAGGACTCTGTTCAACAGATATTTTTCTCAAGTGATGAAAAATTTATCCAGAAGTGACTAAAGTTGTTCCTCTTCTGCAACAAAATTTACCAGAAAAAGGCTATGCATTATTTGAGTCAGACATTTCCAAAATTTTACAGCTTTTAAAGAGCACCCATTTAAGCATAGACAATTATTAAATTTCAACACAATTTTATAGATTATTGTTTTTTTTTAAAAGTTAACTCTGGAAACTAAGGTTTTAAATTGTTATTTAAAAAAAATATCAGCTGTATTAAAGTCTCGCAAAGTTGTTTGGTAAGAAAAATCAATGACAAACTGGTTGAGCTTTTATTCTGCCTGATAAAATCATCCAAAACAATGTCCTTACAACCTTAGACTTATCAGCAAATTTACACTTAAGATAAAAAGTTTGAGTGAAGGTAAGTATATGAAAAACAAGATATATATAAACCAACTTTTTGTCAAAATAATCTTGTGTGTATATGTATAAACATGAGTCAATGTATGTGCATATGTAACTATATGTGCAGGTTTGTTGAGAGATGAGTTAGTGTATATATGAGAGACTGAATGTATTTATATGTAAACGTGTGTGTTTCTGGGTATTTGTGTCTAGAAGTAAATATAAAAGTGTGTGTATATAAAGTATAACTGTGTGTACTTAAGACTGAAGTGTGGATGTAAGTATATTTGGGTATGTTTGATACTATGTTTACATACATTTGTGTGTGTGTGTGTGTGTGTGTGTGTATATTATGAAATAGACAAAGTCTTACAATTATTTTAAGACATTTTTATGTTTATACATTCTTTTTATAGATACAAATATTTAAGTAAATGCTCTGTTTTATAATAAACAGTATTAATAACATTTACCGGCCTGAATGTCT